AAACATTAGTCCTGAAACATTTGAGAAATCATCTCCAAATTCATCACTAGAAGAAATTAATGCTAGAATAACTGTGGTTATAATTTTAATAGGGTAGACAGATCACATTATATTTTCCTACAGAGGTAAACAGGCAGGCTTTTAGGAATGGGAATGGTAGAATGGAGCAAGAGAAAAGACTAGTGGGTCCCCTCAGAGTGGCATTTCCATGGCTCACATCGGGCTATACTGCTCTACAGGAGGAGGCCACCAACTACTTATTTGATTCTCTCTTGAATCAGAAAGCAGCACACAATGCAGAGCTGTGTTCCACATAAATGTTTACTAACTCATTCTAGACTTACTACAGAGAATAATGATAATGATAATGGTAATTTCCTTTTTTTGTCCTTCACTGTTTTTAAAGAGTGTTTAATTTCACTCAGTCTCCTGGGTCTTTCAACTGTAGTCTGAGGGAAAACAGTATAAAACCAAACTTGCTCAGCATCAGGTTAATGATGAGCAAAAGAATCAGGATTCATAAGTGAGCCTTTTCTAATTTCAAATGTAGAGAATTATTGATTCCTTTAAACAGTTGCTTCATTTGTAATGAATAACTTTCTTGCCTTAGAAAATTTTAACAGTATTCTGATTGAGAATAAATTATAATAGTTGTTTTAACCCAAATGCTTTATAATTCTCTCAGCAACGCTGATATGATTTTGACTTCTGCTTCTATATAGTTTTGCATTAGGCACTTTTCATGTAGTAGCAAGGTTGTTTTCTGGGATTTTGAGTGAGTAAAATGGTGGTGAAATTTCATTTTTACTTATCATATCTATGGTCCCACAAAACACTTAACTAGCAAGGAGCTTTAAAGCTGTGGTCTCGAGAATAAAAGCTCTAGACTCCACTTTCATTGGAATAATCTAAGATTCTTGCTAAAGACCCAGATTCTTGAGCTCCATTTTGAACTCACAGACACAGTTTCTAAAATCTGAAATTTGAAGTACTCTGCTTCAACTTCCCATTTCATCTAAAAGCTCCATAGTGTGCTATGTTAAGATTGATTTTTTTCCCCCTCAATTCAGTGTTTCTTTCTTTTTATTTTTTTGGTACTAGGGATTGAACCCAGGGTGCTTAACCACTGAGCCACACCCCCAACCCCTTTTTTATATATTATTTATAGACAGGGTCTCGCTGAGTTGCTTAGTGCCTTGCTAAATTGCTGGCTTTGAACTTGTGATCCTCCTGCCTCGGACTCCCAAGTGGCTGAGATTACAGGCGTGTGCCACCATGCTAGGCCCCAAATCAGTGTTTCTTAATGTCAGTTTGCATTGCAAAATGGCACACAAAGTGACCCAGCTATATAATATAATTATGTGATAGTAATGATATACATAATGTAAGTATAACTTTTAGGTGTGAATCTTAAGTATATATGGTTTAGGAATAATATTGTAACTTAATGAAAAGATATTGAAAAGCATAGGAAGAAAGACATGTCAAGCTTTGCTGGGTCCACATAAATGAATAATATTATTTTAGTGTCTATGCAGAGGTAGAAACCTTCTATGAGAAAAGCTGGAATTGCATCTAACACAAGCTCTAATGAAAGACTGCTTGGACATTATTTGTTGTTATTCTTGATAAAGATAATATTAGACTTTAATATAATTTAAACAGAACTTCATTATTTTTGACCAGAGATGGAAAATTCTTAAAAAAAAATCTGTTTTGGGCTGGAGATGTGGCTCAAGTGGTAGCGTGCTCGCCTGCCATGTGTGCGGCCCGGGTTCGATCTTCAGCACCATATACCAACAAAGATGTTGTGTCCGCCAAGAACTAGAAAATAAATATTAAAAATTCTCTCTCTCTCTCTCTCTCTCTCCTCTCTCTCTCTCTCTAAAAAAAAAAAATCTGTTTTTCCTAGGTGGAATTTAAATACTACCACGTTTTGTAGAGATGTTCTATATTAATAACCAAATTTATTATAATGTTGGAAAATATTTTTCAACAATATTTTCCTCATTTTAAAAAATGAGGGAAAGTGAACTGAGTGAAAAGACCAAGAAAAAGTATCACAATGTCACATGAAAATATTTATTTTATTTATGATAAAAATACTAATTTTCTTTTAAAAATAATTTTTGGCAAAATAAGAGTCTACATTTAATCACCTTAGTTATTAGGAAGATATTAGAAACACATCTCTGAAGCAAATTAATATGGACACATTTTAAATTAAGCAGGATTATTTTTTTTAAGGACTTTGGAATAAATTAAGGAAAAAGATCATTCATATTTTCCTTCTGTTGAAATACAATAAATTTGATTTTCTGACCTATAAGTCAAAAGTAGTTTTGTTTTTTATTCACAAGAAAACAGTTCTTTCTTGAAACAGAGGAATGCCTTTTAGCAAAAACTGCATAATTATTTCCTGTTTCATGATATTTTGTGAAGCACATCATATTTTCTAGTAATTGGCTTTCAGTTAATTCTTTATTGTTTTTGATTAAAAAAAACACTTGGGTAAGAGGAACAAGATTAGAACTGAACCTACTAATACAGGGATTGTGCTTTACTAAGGGAACTAGTCTGTAATCGATTCAACTAACATAAGTAACATAGATGGTTGGGGAATTCACAAACCAGAAAAGGAAAAGGAAGATTGGTTTCGGGAATTCAAAAAGAAAATTGGTCTTACTTAGGGATCAACTCATCAACCTGGATAAAGCTGTTTGTGCTATGGGCCTGTTGTAAATCAAAACAAAACAAAACAAAAAAACTATTAACAAAAAGAAAATAAGCCCGGGCACTGTTTACAGCAGAAGTGGATTTTCAAGCAAAATTCGTGCATAGTTATGTTTAAAGATAGTCTGCTTTACTGAATTTAGTATCCATTGGCTTGACTTCTTTTTTGACTTTCTTTGATTTTCACACATCCTTCATTTGAAAAGATACAGAGGAGGATATCAAAAATAAATTCTTCACTTAATTTTTTGGTATTGCTATATAAAATTTCTATCAGGAAGTATAGTTTTATTTCTCCTACTTAATCACTTTCTATGATATTTGTATTTTCTTGCTCTACATTATTAGTTAAATATATGAACTGCTATATTATTTTATTTATTATAGATTTTTTATTTGCAAAAATCATGAGCTTTTAGTAACTTGTAAAATATTTCATTGAGAGACTAAATTGTATATATTCTGGGAAATATATCATGTTAAGTAAATGTGTTTTTAGATAAATTTCAAATAAAGTGAAAATTGCAGATTATTAGCTCTTTCATTCCTTACCATTTAAAGACATTAAAGAGACATTACTCATATTTGTTCATGAGGGATGGCAGCGTCAGTATGGACCCTCAGCTTATTGGGAAAACACATAGATGAAGTGAGAATTACTGCAATGTGCTGTGGCTCCTTCAAACTAAAAAAAATGGAAACACACTCAGAGAAATAGTAAACTTGATTCTTTGCTGAACTCCAAAGGAATATTTGATTTCCCTGTCACTTGTGGCATAATCTTTCTGGATTTGAGCTTTCATCCAACTCAAATCAAAAGGCAGTATCTATATTCGGGTGGCCCTCACCTGTTCTTTTGGGTTGATGGTTTGTGTCTCTTATAATTCCCCATCTCTCTCTCTCTCTCTCTCTCTCTCTCTCTCACACACACACACACACACACACACAGACACGTGAATTTGTGTGTGTGTGCATGTGTGTGTGTGTAAGAGATGAGTGAAAATAAATTAACAGATAATTTTAGCTTTTTCAAGTTCTTTGAATGAATCAATCACAGAATCAAAAATTGGTACTTGAGAATGGGAAAGAGATGTTAAGAGAATGAGAACTACCCCGGGCTTTGGACTTGAACAAAGCATATGGATCCTTTAAGAAAGCACAGTGAGGACAAAATACATGGCCCAAAGCCTTACATATCTGTTGTTTTGTGGTCAGAGAGAGAAAACTCTTCTGTCATTTTTGCTTGGGTCAGAAGTGGTTAGCAATGCCCAGGAGCTCTGTTATGTCTTTATGTAGTTAACATATCCCCAAGAGAAATCATCATTTCATCAATAGGTCCTTTCTGTTGAGTTTCTTATTCAGTTAATGACAACCTTATCTCACCAACTTATATTGCTTCATCATCTTATTAAAGAGTTTGCTATATAACCTGTAGACTCAACCTATATTCCTGTCTCACTTGTCTCTTCTTTTGATTTCCTTTGCCAGAACCGAGTTCAGAACTTCATCAGCTCTTGCCTGGATTATCAGTTTGCTTTCTAACAAAAACCATTATATCCAGTAGCTCAAACCCGATCAAATTTTTTTTTCATCTTTTTGTTCTAAACTGTAATATTTCTGCTAAAAAGTACCAGTGAACACTCAATGACCACAAAAAATTCATAAATTGATAGTAGATTTCTCCTCCTCTTTCTCCTCCTCCTCCTCCTCCTCCTCCTCCTCCTCCTCCTCGTCTTCTTCTTCTTCTTCTTCTTCTTTAATGTGGAAAGGCAGTCATTAACAATGCCCAATGTTTCCTTTAATCTCCTTTGCTCTAAATATCTGTCAAACTAATTGTTACTTCATGAACATGCCCCATGAACACTTGCATGACACAGCCTGATCTCTGATATGGCCTCTACTTGGAGAGCACTTTTCCATTTCTCTTGCCTAAACCCTAGTGTTATCTGACACCACTTTTAGATCCATTCTTTATGAAAATTTCCCATTCTTTTCTCAACCAGATGTGATCAATTTTTTCTCTGTATCATCATAACTATGTAAATAACTTTCTTGACAAATCCTTGTTTGTTCTTTTCTATCATAGTTTTCATTGTATTGTTTTTTTGACTATGAGCATATATGAAGAGAAGAAACTGTATTTTATTTTTTCCTGTATCTTCTATTTAATACATGTCTCAGTATCTTATATAAAATGGAAACTGTAAATATCTATTATATTAGGAGCAATGTATCATAGATATATTTAAAAATGATGTAACACACTCTTAATCACCTCCCCCAGCAAAGTATATTTTAAAATACAAAGTTGTGGTTCAAAAATAAAGGTATATGTTGTTTTACAAATAGTCTTGGTTTATGATGAGCCTTCTCAAAGATTATTTGTTTCCACCAATCAGAAAACTAGAGGTGGTTTAATTAAAAGTAAAGTTCCTATTACATTCTCTCTCATAAAAAGAAAATGATGTTTAAATCAAAGGTATGGAGATGAAGTATAAAGTGACAGATTTAGTTAGTAACTGAGCTAATTAACATTAAAAGAAGTGAAACGCATTTTCTGTTTTAAATAAGAGATTGGAAATATAATAAGTATGGTGAATAACCTAGAATGCTTAGTGCCTTAAATCTGGTTCTAAAATAAACAAGGGGAAATTATAATTTCCTCCCACTCCTTGGGTGAGGATTTGATTTCAGATGTTGATACTACATGGTTAAGATAATATTCTTCTAGAAATGTATACCAAACAGAAAATTTAAAATGTACTCATTCATTATTCAGAATTATTTTGCCATACCTAATTCATTTTAGGATTACTCTTTACCATCAAAATAAAAAGACAGTATTGATCCTTACTCATACTAAGTAAATTGTTATGCTCAGGGTAAGGTGGAAAAGGGCCAAAAATGGTTAAGAAGGAGAAATGTGTGCATTGTAAAATTATATCTTTTTTGTAAAATAAAGGATTATACAATAAAACAACAGGATCTTATAGAGATTATGGATGGAAGTATGTTAACTGAAAATTCTTCTATAATTTTTTAAGATATAAACCTGGAAAATTATTGTCATTAATACCATATACTCATATTTTTTCCAGTTATCATTTTAGATATATAGAAAAGGCAAAATATTTTTTTATAATCTGAATAAATTATTTTCTAATTTTGATTGGAATGATGAAATCAATATACTTTCTATTAATGGTTCTAATAAAATATAAATTCTATCCTTTTAGCAGCTTTAATATGTCCTCTAAAAGTTTTTAATGGTATATTATTTAACATTCATTTAGTTACTCTACTGAAAGATAAAAAAAAAAAAAAAACTCTACCCTAAAATGATAAACTTTGTTTAAACTAACATCGGCAGCGCATAAGTTTTTGGAATGCTTTCTTAAAGTCTTCATTAAAGATTGTATAAATCAGTGGATTTATAAGGGAATTGAGATAACCAAGCCATGCCAAAAAATTTGACATTTCTTCAGAAATTTTACATTTTTCACAAACATTAACAACCAATTCTTTTACAAAAAAAGGAAGCCAACATATCACAAATGCACCCAAGATTAATCCCAGGGTGGTGGCTGCTTTTCGTTCTCTTGTCCCTGAGATCTTTTGCCTTCTCCAAGATTTCTCATGCTTCAACTCGCACCTGGAACTTTTCACTGTGCTATGAATTCTATCAAAGTCTGTTGATGGATCAGATAGAGACTTTTCTAGCATGTAGGGTGTGGAGACCAGTCTAGTGTTTTTCTCACCACTCTCCAAGAGGACTTGGCCATTCAGATCCTCCTTTGCAATTCTGCTTGCTTGTCTCTTGTGGTATAATGTTTTTGCTGCTCTATATATTTTGTAGTAGAGGATCAAAATCAATACAAGTGGGATGTAGAAAGCTCCAAATGTTGAGTAAATGGTGGAAACAATGTGGTCATGCTTGATGACACACTCATCATTTCGGCTAGTTCCTTGGTGTCTCCAGAATAGAGGAGGCATGGAGATAAAAACTGATATAACCCAAACTATTGTAATCATAATGCCAGCGTGCTTGGGAGTCCTTTTCCTGGCATACTCAACAGCATCAGTGATTGCCCGATAGCGATCCAAAGCTATAGCTGAGAGATGCAAAATGGAGCAGGTACAACAGATAATATCGACACTCAGCCAAATGTCACAGACCACTTGTCCCATGATCCAGCTCTCTCTCACAATATACACAATACTGAAGGGCATCACCAGGACAGCTACAAGGAAATCTGTGACTGCAAGGGAGCAAATTAAATAATTGGCTGGGTGGTGCAGCTTCCGGGTCACAATAATTGCAGCAATCACAAGGGAGTTGATGGTCGTTGTCATCAGTGCCAGCCCGGAGAGAGTGAGAGACACAAGAATTTTGGCTGGCATTCTGTTTAACAGTTCCTCTGAGGTCAAGTTTTGATCAGATGAATTTAAGAAATCCATTTTTTTTGTTTTAAAAGATTAATATAGCTGAAATATGGATACCTGTAACAAAGGAGGGGAAAAAAAAACAGTTCAGAGAAGGCGTTGAGAATTTTCCTCTTCCTTTTAAGAGTAACCTTTTAAAAAGTATATGTGTATATTTTCCCAGAATATTCTACGGATTCAAAAAATGGAGTTTGGATTGCAAACTTTATGTTTTTTCATTTAATTAAGTGAATCCAATAAGAACAATAACAATAGGTAACTTTTAAAACATTTCTCAAAATATGACTCACATAAAAAGAGTTTTATGAGTAAACTAGCAAATTACTCAGTAAATTATCTACCATTATAGAATTGCTTTTAAAAAATTGTAGTAGTCCTACCTTTTTCTCTTTGTCTATAGCAGAAAAAATTTAAAAGCACACGTAATTAATATCTATTTATGCACTGTGTAATGTAATATAAGAAAGCATCATATTAAGGGCAGTATTCAAAATCATAAACAATTTTATACTTAATTCAAAGTTACATTGAGAACATTATTATTGTGCTCATAGGACTACAGGAAAATTTAATATATTTTATGCCAGGATATAGAAGTTACATAAAGGGAAGTAAGTAAAAATTATTATATCTAGCATTCTATGGTATTTAATGAAATTAGGAAAATGTCAGAGTGTTTAGTAGTCTTTGTGAATGTAAGCACTTAATTTGGTTTAAAAAGATAAAATAAGATTAGGTGGAGTCAAAGAACCATAGAGCATTGCCCATTATAACAATGATATATGTGGTCAAACATTCATGACAGCAATAAAAATAGGGAAACACCCAAAGAAAAATTAGATTAACATAATTTACTGAGAAACTCCTGGAAACAAGAATGTGAGAAAGAGTTCTGGTGAAAAGCTATGTAGCTGCCCTTAGTGGAGAGAAACTCATAGATGCTGTAGCACTGAAAAAATTAAGCAGTTGAGAACAACTATGCTGATTATGCTGAGAAACATGACTCCCTGGACCACTAGCATCATCATCACCTAGGAACTTGTTAGAATTGTAAATTTTATGACCTCACACCAGACTTACTGAATCACAAAATCCAGAAGTGGGACCCCACAATCTGTTTTAATAAGTCTTCAGCTGATCTGAGGTTCCCTAATTTGAGAACCACTAGTTATATTTCCATATAGACTTTGGACTCCATTATTTACATAGAGTTGCCTTAATTGTGCTTTAAAAATAGGTAGTGATATTAGTAATATAGATATAATATAAGTAATATAATATAATATAATATAATATAATATAATATAATATAATATAATATAATATAATATAATATAATATAATATAATATAATATAAGTAATGTAGCAACTTAACCATACAACAGATAACCACCCATTTTCTGGATAGCAGGTATTTAAATTTCTTTTGCCACTCAATTTGTTTAGCAGCAGCACTTGGCTTCAAAAACTATCTGAAAGAGCAAATTAAATTTAACCTAAACACAAGTCAAATAGTGAGTATGTGGGCTTCCAATGTGGTTTATAATATATTTAATTACATCACATGAATGATTATTTATATTCTTAGGAAGTATTTGATAGTATTAGTTTCAACTACTGAGACATTATCACTTTAAAATCAATTTAAAGAAGAGGAAAGTACAGTAACAATTATATCAAAGAATAGATTTAGATTTCTACTTCCTTTGTTTTCATAAGAAAATTTCCTAAGTAATTCCTAAAGAATTACTAAAGAAAGAGAGCAAAACTAACGGGAAAAACTACCTTATAAAGTGTATTAATTTTATTTGATTGTACTCTAATTGCTTTTATTTTTTTTTCTTTTTTCACTATTTATTGGTATATTATAATTATGCATAAGAGTGGGTTCATTGTTACACATTCATACATGCATATAACGTGACAATATGATTTGGTCAATATTGTTCCCTAGTATTTTTCCTTTTCTCCCCTCATACCTCCCTTTGGTCCCTTGATCTCCCTTTACTTTTCGTGTGATTTACCCCCTCCACTTTTCATCTTCTTTTTCTTCTCTAGCTTCCACATATCAGAGAAAACATACGACCATTGACAGATTTCTGAGTTTGGTTTATTCCCTTAATATAATGCTCTCAAATTCCATCCATTTTCCTTGACATAATTTCATTTTTCTTTATGGTTGAGTAAAATGCCTTTGTGTATATATACCACATTGTCTTTTCTATTCATCCTTTGATGGACACATAGGCTGGTTCTATAATTTGGCCCTTGTGAATTGTCAATTATCTGACTTCTAGTTAAGAATAACATACACTAAAACAATGATTGTAAGCTGTGGGTAGAGAGTCCTCTTTCAGAAGAAAGGTCACCATTGTGAAAAGAAGAATAACTTTTATTTCAGGGTAAGTGCCATTCTGAGCTCTCCTCTCTGGCAAGTTCACCTTTGTAAACTGGATGCTTGGTCATACATGTAGTTGTTATAAGGAGTAATACTCTATGGTTCTTTGACTCCAACTAATCTTCTTTTATATTTTAAACCAAATTAAGTCCTTATATCCACTAAGACTACTAAACACTCAGATATTTTCCTAATTTCATAAAATGACCATAGAAGGCTAGATATGCTAATTTACCTCAGTAAGTGGGCTTTTGGGTCAAGGAGCTTAGCAAACCTCACAGTTTTTGTAGATTCTCTCAGGAAACCCATTTTTGTTTTTTGAGGGGGTTGAGGAGATAATGGTTATGTGTGAAATGCTTTCTCCAAAGCAAGGAAGATATATTAGAAGCATGGTATATTAATTAATTTTTACTTCCAATCCTCTTTTATTCTTTAACTATAAAATTTACACTATTTTCTCAATCTAAAAACAGAATCGTTTCTTATTTATTTATTTTTCAGTGCTGGATATTGAACCCAGGTGCTCATACATGCTAGATAAGAGCTCTATCACTGAGCTATACCCCTTGGATACTTTCTTAATTGGATAATTTATTTGCAATGATGTTTACTTAGTGTTATGGGAGTTGATTTAAAAGAGTTGACATTTTCCACATTACAAACAAAAATAACTTTCAACAGTAATTTGCCTCATACACAGTTTGGACATAAGAAATGACCCTGAAATGTATTTTGGTAAGCATATTAAGTGAGAGAAACTGCAAGTAGTTATGTGAGTTTCCATAATAAAAATCACTGCTATGGGAAATTGGACAGTTTAAAACTAGAAATTGAGTTATTTGATAATTCAACAGATTTTTCTAAGTTTCACATTGTAGCATTTAAACTAGCCTTGATAAAATGGTCCTTAATCCCAGGAAAAAAAAATCAAAATTTTTGTCATATGCATCATATATAGTATTTTGCAGTTTACCAGAAATTTTCCAGTATTTCATTTAAAACCTAATTAATCTTCCAATTGTCATAGACAACAAAGAAAATAGGACAACAAATGCAATCAATCACAATAGGGTTTTACTTTCATTTGACTTTTTTCCTTACTATTACAGTTAGAAATTTAATAAAACATCTATCTTCAGACATGATATTTGACCAGATTCCTTCATGATCCTTTATATATATATATATATATATATATATGTGTGTGTGTGTGTGTGTGTGTGTGTGTGTGTGTGTGTGTGTTTACATGGACATAATATCTTTATTTTGTTTACTTATTTTTATGTGGTGCTGAGAATGGAACCCAGTGCCCCACACGTGCAAGGCAAGCGCTCTACCACTGAGCCACAGTCCCAGCCCCATTCCATTATATTTAAAGTTCCCACTGTGTGTCCTCATAGAGTTAGGCTCACCTCTTTCGTAGGGCACAGACTGTGTTACTTATGCTTCTCCTGCTCTTAGAACATAGACAACATTCTGTATTTCAAATGTCTTTCCTAAGAATTAGTCAAGATTCCTCTGTGTAAAGGCTGTAGTTTACGCAGTTATATGCAATCTTCCTGATAACAGCAGAGAGCAAAATTCTCTAGACTTTACTCTGCATAAATATTTGCCAATTTGCTGATCTAGCCACTTGGTGCATTTTCTCTTTTGTTTATACACAGTATTTTTTTTTTTTATTAAATATTTGTTTATATTCAGTAATCTGATTTTGATGTCCCATATATTTTGTACTTAGGTTAAACTATTAGCTTCTAGAGGCATAATTTAATATTTTTTTTTTACTGTGAATAAGGTATATGTGTGCACAGGTATGTGTGTAATACAAATGTTTTTTTAAAAAGCAAGACCTCATGAAAAACTATAAGTTGACTGTTTCAATTAAATTCATAATAATATTCATCTTTTCTGAGTGTTTGCTTTTATAGGTGTTACACAGAATGGTTTATAGGTGTTACACAGAATGGGCCTTCTGTGAAATGAGGCAATGAGAAGGTTCCTCTTCATATCCCATTTCTTGCAATAATGCCAGAAAGATTTCATATAGGTATGAATTTATTAGGAGGAATAGGAAAGGAAAAAAGGGACATTCTTAAGGCAGAAGGTGATCCTTGCAGAGAAAAGAACTTTCCCTCCAATTTTATTGGGAGCCCCAGGAAGTTTACAAAGTACCACCCAAGCCCACCTTCTGACTTTTGACTGGCAGCATAGGAACCTCATGGACTGCCTCCAAGAGATGGTGTGGTGCTCACAGAGGAATTTGATTCTCCTCTTTTTTTTTTTTTTGCCTGGATTTCCTGCCCCTTTGATTGGTTTATCATCCTTTGAAAAGCCCTCAGCAACTTTCTTTCTGAGACTCAGGTGATTGGTGGTTGTGATGATATTGGTGATCAGGGAACGTCTAGGCCACCTGGTAGGGTGTGATCTAGTCTCTAGTGTCAAGGGAATGTAACAACGGTTGGGGGAGATTTTAACATTCCAAGCCTCCTTCTTTGAGGTGCTAATGTATCAGAAGGCTCCCTGTGGTTTTGGGTCAGGCTTCATTTGTTTTTCTCACTATTCATGGCTGACTAGCTATCTAACAGAGATACTGTACTAAGCCATTTATTTCTTAATGCTACCTATGAGGTAGGCACAATTATTATCAAATAGGAAAAC